GAAGTTTAAAAAAATAATCGTTTGAATAATCGTGATTTCAATTTTGACCCAAATAATCGTGATTATGATTTTTTTCCATAATCGAGCAGCTCCTAATTAAAACCTCTCTGACTGTGTGAACTTAGATTTCTACAGGTGTTCCTAATAAAGTGGCCACTGAGTATAAACAGTAGACGTGTTAATAAGCTGGAGCAGCTGAGGGGAAGGGAAGTGGATCATTAGACGGTGATGTGAAGAAACTGCAGAAAGGTCTGTGTGACAAAGTCGTCTTTATTTCATGTCGTTACTACACGGTGGAAACACTAGTTACTGAAACGATACTGTGATCTGACTTCTTTAATAAAGACTTTCCATTCATCGAGTTACCGCACGTTCATGCTCGGGGCTGCACCGAGGGAATACGAGTACAGCAGTCTACGTTATTCCTGTGGTAACTATGCACTTATACCTTTACTATGAATGTGGGAATGTCTTGTCTTCGGCTTTTGGACCATGTTTGGATCCTGTAAGATTTACTGTATTTGTGGCACCATAAATTCAGGTTTAAGGCCAAAGTTAGCGAGCTCACCTACCTGACCTTCTTCATTGAAAACACTTCAACACAAAGGCACATGCATTTCTTTCCTATAGGCTTTAGACTGAATGCAGTACTCAGTGTTTTGAGTCCGAGTGCTCCAGATGTTGGTTTGCTGCCCGGAAAAGGCGAAATTATCAAATTACAGACTGAAGTCAAAATTACACGTCAGCAAGCCGACAAAACTTTGTCACGTCATTTTTTATTTATAGTCTGGCGACAGAACGAGCTGATCTTATAGGAACAGACGCCCGACGTTTGCTGAGGTTTGTTTACATTCGGCAAAAGAAAATGTTGAGTTCGGAGAAGGACTTTATTTTATCTCCACTTTGCTGAGATGACAACAGACAGGAGCAGTCGAGGAGCATCTCTTGGATGGAAAACGGAGATATAAAGAATATTACATTTACTTTATAGTCTTGATTTCTGGAGGTATTGGCAAAGTGCGACCAAAACACTTTTTATATAAAATTGTCACGCTGTATATATAAATGTTAACACATTCAAATGCACACAGGTCTAAAAAGAGTGTATGAATGTCTCTTTAACAGCGATAAATGTTGTGTATTGTGTATTTAAAGCTTTACACACTGCGAGGTGAACAGATTATAAACTGACTGAACAGCTGAACAACTAACTTTACTACCGAAGATGACAGTAACTGTAAGAGGACAGCTATTTCTAAACACTAAACAATACAAGAAATGGTCAACAAACACTTCAAACATGAATTTAAATAAACGATAAAAGCTCATATACTTATATATTTATATATTTACATACCTGCTGTGGATATTTAACTACCGATATAATCCCTAATGTATAAAACACTCACATCAGTCCAGTTGTTTCACAGTAACAGCGTCTGTATCCTCCTCAGCTGTTTCCTCAGTGACCGACCGTCACATCCACTCACGGCTCGACGCTGCTCACCATCAGATCAGATTTGAACCATTTCTGTCTCAAAACACGTCGGACGGGTTTTTCCCTCAAACAGAAACTTTCACACACAAACAAACTGTTGACATTGACGAAGGATAATGAGGTCGACACTCAGACTCTTTGTCATTGGTTAATCTTTACACCAACCGGATCTGAAAATGTAGTTTCACACACATTACTAAACAAACACATTAATCCCGAGTTGATGTTTAAATATTTGCTGCAGAGTGTTAGTGACTTTATTAAAAGGTGATCATTTGAGTGTTTGAACTCTTTTTTTGTCCCCAAATTAAATTATTTGAACTTCTACAAAGTGGTTGAGTTTACGGCTTATTAACTTCTGCAGAAACACATAAATCCTTTTCCCTTTTGTGCCTTTTATGCGTCGCCGTTACATTTGTGTTAGACGTATGCTTCTGTTATAAATGTATAAACTGTCATTGTGGGTTAAAATGTCGTCAGGTTTTGTTTTTTTGACTTCGCAGTATTGATTTTTGTCTTTAAACCTTTAAAAGAAAACTTTGTTCTCTATACAGGGAAGTAACAACGCTCACGATTCAATACTGGGTTTAATTTTTTTGGGATAATGAGATTGAAGACACGTTATGACTGTAAAAGATTCACTTATCAGACAAAAATCTACCTCTCTTATGTTTTCTTTATAAAGAGTATAAACTGATAAACAATCCTTTTCTTTGTGAAGAGTCTTTGACATCAGGATTTATTTGTTTTATCTTTCATTTGAATATTTGTCTTGCAATATAACTGTCTTTATACTACGACAGTTCTCCTAAAATCCAACTGAAAAACGTAACATATACACAATATATCACCTTTTTTTTAACAGTATTTATAATATATTGTATTGTATCATCAGATTATTACACAGCTCTAGTCAGTGTGTGAGAATAACATCAGATAACATAAAGTACCAGTGATATAATAAACATAACCGACAATAAAACGCTTAAAATTTAGTCAATGTCGTACAAATTTCTACTTTCTTTGCTTGGATTAGGAAACAGGCTGAATATTATATATATTATATTATATTATATATATATATATATTATAATAATATATAATAATAATAATATATATATAATAATAAACTTCTTCCTCTCACAGTTTGGACATCACGGTCTCAAACTGTT